AAAAAAAAAAAAAAAAAAAAAAAAAAAAAAAAAAAAAAAAAAAAAAAATCAAAGGTCGAATTTCATGGTATCCAAGTGCGTGTGGCAAACAAGTCCCTCGAATCGGGTGAAAAGCGGCAACCCAAAATCCCGGGCTCCATCGACAAACAAATTGAGCACCTACAAGCGTCGAGTGGTCGGAGCGAAATAGGGGGGAAAAAATCTCGGCTAAAAGAAAGAAAGAAAAAAAAAAATAAACAAACACGAGAGAGCCGGGTACAGGACGAGAGAGACAGCGACCGCGCACACCGCAGCTAAAAACACGTACGGGAAGTCGGTGGTGTACCCTCGCTACAGCCAACCAATTGTGGAATTGAAACATTTTTCACCGATTACGCGGAAGGGGAGAGGTCGCGCGAACCGAAAACCGTTTCGAAACATCTGGGCACACCATTGCACGTATATATATATATATATCCACACACACACACAAGCGCCTCGAAAGCCAATCAAGCTGCGCCAACCCCTACGCCGTTAATAAAAGTGCCTAGCCCACCGAAATAGCTTTGGATTTCGCGGAGTCGGTAAATGGCTTATCGATCGCCGTCGCGAACCCCGCAAAAGGAGAAGTAGCGCAATAATATTAAATTAAGTTTTATGGGGCGAACTGGGCGCGATTCCTCCCCTCCCCCCGCCCTCGGCGACATTTATTGTTTTGATTTGTGCGCCGGCGGACCCCCTCCCTTCTTACTCCCACCGTCTTCTCGAGGACACACACATATGTACGGGAATGGGGATCTTTAACCGCGATGAACATCCATCATGCGGATGGGTGGGTGGACTGTATGTGGATAAAGGTAGCGAGAAACCTCCGGTTTAAGGTTTTCCAGGGAAAGCAGACGTATTATCGGGCTCGGCTCTTCCACTGCTGGGGCGAACGAAGGAAGACGGGGGCTCTCGTTCTCTCGCGGGATTTTTGCTCATTGTTGTACTTGTTTTGTTTTGACACGGGGGTAGGGAGGGGGCTCTATACGCCGCGGTGATGCAGTTTGTAATATACTTTGATGGAAGACGGAATAAGGTACAGTTGGTTCACTTTTTTGATTTTTAGATTTGAAAGATGAAAAATTACAGCTTGTTCTCGCCTTTCCAGTAAAACATGAGCCGTATTTTTACCGTCGCGTTTCCCTCAAACGAGGGTGGGTGAAAAAATACTTGAAAAATCTTGATACCTGTGAAAAACAAGTCACGCGAAAATACGTTCCTATTCATTGCAGACGCGGTGAACACTCCGCGCCCCATATTTCGGCTCGCAAATACGCGTGCAACTATTGTACAATGCAAACGATGGGTGCTGCAAATGATTCAACTCTTGTCCTATATTTTACCATAAGCTGCATCGAGTGAGACGTAATGACGTACCTTCGGGGCTATACATTTGCAAAATTACAAAATTTGTAAGATTCCGGTCGACCAACTCGACCCACAAAAAATGAAAAATTAAAATACACACACACAATCACTTGGTATTAATTCGGAACGGCCTCATTACTCGTCAATCGGTGCGAAGGGATTAAAGCTCCCAGAAATTTATATGCGATAGCACTATCGCCCCACATACCCGGGCAGGCGCGCTTACCCACGTAATAAACTTTGGCCGAGGCAATAAAAAAAGAAAGAATAAAAAAAAAAAAAAAAAAAAAAAAAAAATACTTACGTTGCGTCNTGATCCCTAAGACGACGAGAAACCGTTCAGACGAAGATAAACGAGAAGTTCCGAATTTGCATCTGGCAACCGCGCGGGGGAGGAGCGAGATGAACAAACAAAAACACACACGACAAACCGTGCTTTTGTACCCTTTGTACCGTTAATTTTTTTTTTTTTTTTTTTTTTTTTTTTTTTTAATGAAATTAAAAACATTTCCCCCCCAAAAAAAAAAAAAAAAAAAAAAAAAAGAGTCACCAGCAACGCACTACGTCTGGATTTTTCCTCTATCAGCAAAATTTGAATCGCTGATTCCCCCGATACACCCACGGCTCGGCGGCGGCTTGAGCTTCATGCAAATGACCGAGCGATGCTGGCGCATCGATACCCATACCCACATCTATTGTGCATGTATATATGTATACACTCAAACACAGCCGCACAAATCGCTCGGCCAAACCGAGCGCGAACTTTCCTTTTGTGGGTGTGTGCCGCGAGCGCGAAAGCAAAGTAGAACGAGGGGCAACGAGGTGGGAGGGGGGCCGAAGAAAGCTTGCGAAAATTTAAAAAGCCGTTGGAGAAGTAATCAGCGCCAGCAGTGGGGAAAAGAGACGAGCTTTGTTCGTGTATGGAGGTGGAGGGTAGACCCGAGACGAGCTCAATTTTAAACGCGCCCCAGCATTTACCAGAGAGAGAGAAAGTAGCGTATGTATATATAACATCGACAGTAGTATTAGTAATGATGATAATAGCGGCGATGTGGAGATTGTGGAGCAGAGGGAGAATTTAGGCGGCAAGTTTAAATTAAATCATGTCGCGACGACGGAGACGCCGCTCGCACATTCTCAACGCTCGGGCGGGAGAGCTAATGCGAGCACTCGGCTGTGCAGCCTTGTGCTCTTTTTTTTTTCCTATGAGCAAATGAGATTTTTCACGACGTCATCGCTCCACCGACGAATTTCAATTACTGGCGCGTCACGTGCAAGTTCTCGCGCCTCTGTTTTAGCGGATCCATATACATACACTCATACACTCACATACGATTACATAAAACAGAACAACTTGAACTTTTTTCCCATGATACTTTGATCCGTGGCATGTTTTGTAAAATTTAATTAAAATTCAATTAACGGTTGCAAGGTTAATGGTTTTTTTTTTTTTTTTTTTTTTTTAATCCATTAGAANCAGCAACAGTAGTAGTAACTCACGCCCGGAAAACAACAACTGCGTGCAGTCGATAGTGCACAGAGGCAGTCCCTCGGCCCAGTACCACCAGGCCAGTCCCAGTCCTAATCATCAGCAACAGCAGCAGCAGCAGCAGCAGCACTCGCCCCAGCATACGTTGCCAAGGTCGAGGGGGCCGGCGCTACCGCCGCATCTGCTGAATCCCCTGCCACTCTGGCCGCAGATGTCCAGCGTCTCGGGCTACGCGAACCAGAGGCTACTCAACGGCGTCATCAGTAGCTACGTAACCGGCAACAACGGGGCTGCTGCCGCAGCGGCAGTGGCAGCAGTCGTGGCGGCCAATGCCAACGTGACCGGCAGCAATAACGGCAACAACAACAACAACAACAACAACAACAACAGCAACAACAATAACAACAACAACAACAGTAATAACAACAATGGCACTAGCGCCGCCACTGCTGTTGTCACGAATGTCTCCACTGCCAATACCAACAGTGGTGAGTTGAAGTCTTTTCTTCATTTTCTTTTGTTATCATTACTACTCTTGCAAAAGATTACCCTTTCAGTTCGAAATTCAATTTGGTGTTGAACGCCATTGATTATTTCATTGATACTAGAGAACAGCTTTTTTATTAATCGCACAGACCATCGCAATGCGATCTATTTCTACGAAAATTAATTTTTTTTATTCTTCGCAAAACGTTGAATCCAGCGAAATTCAATATAATAAGTAATTTAATTTTTTCTAGCTGATGCACAGTATTCATTGAAAATTCGTGAAAAAAAAAATCGTCTACTAAAGACATATTTATGTTGTTGGGTTTCGCTGAGTGAACGATTGCTTCATTCACAATAAACGAAACTGTATTGTATCAATGAAATGTATCGCATTACGAAAGTAGATATTTTTGATCCCCTCAACTTTTCATTTTCGCGCATAAAAAATAACCCTACCTGCCCCCACCCCCCCCCAAAAAAAAAAAAAAAAAAAAAAAAAAGTTACACCGTGAATTTCGAAGGGACTGATAACCAAATCCCACGAATCATCTATTCAAGCGCGCAAACGCCCGCACACCCAGAGACAATCCCCGACAGACAATATCGACTTGGTAGGGATACTCGTTCGTTCGTCACACGCGCAATCATCATGGAAATCGCCATCTCTCGCAGCGAGGCCTCGCGTGTAATACCCCCCCCCCCTCGTTGAGCTCCCGCGGAATTAATCCCCTCGTACGCGTCGGTCTGACCGTCGCTCATGACATTCGGTGTACGCCCTCGTGATTTGCATATCATTAGTTTATTGTGCGTTTATCATTTCACCCGGTGCGGGCGCAAACCCATCCGGTCTCGCGTGGGATATCGGGTAATTCCTTCCGATACGGAAAACTGAATCGGTAATACGTCGGGGGTGACGATGAATTCATGTTCCGATGGGCCAAAGTGTTTGCCGCGGCACGAAATTGAGGGAATCACGCGGTGAAATGGTTTTTTACGGAAACAACGGGACACTTGGATCTTTTACGATATTTATAACGAAACCAAGTGACCCGATTCTTTGAATCAAAGAAAATGCATCCAACCCCGTTCCGTTACATATTTTCTTTCGACTAATTTGATTGACTAAATCATTTTTAATTGCAAGAAAATACTTGACAGAATGGGGGCGAAGAAACTTTCTTTTTTTTCTTTTTTCATTCAAAGAATTAGGTCGCTTGGTGATGCAAAAAAAATCTGGGTAACGCTACGTTTTCACGTAAGTTGGTAAACTTTCTCATCAGTTGCAGAGAGACGGAATGAGCATAAGTGTCATCGAATGGGTGCCGAGAGTCGAGGACGAGGGGAAGTATCTGACCTGTCGAGCCGAGAACCGACACTTGCCAGAAAAAACCATCGAAGACAAATGGATGCTGAAAGTTCACTGTGAGTATACAAACTTGGGGGGTAAGAGAAGTTGTGGCCAAACTTTTTTAAGGGCAAGGAGAAAATCCTTGCGACTCGACGGAGCGACCCCATAAACCGATGACGCACAAATGGACAGACGTTTCTCGAAATTTCGATGAGAAACAAAAATCTCGTACCTACTTTTTGTGCTATCGACACTTTGCGCGAGCTGTAACGTGTTTTCGGTGAACTTGCGTATTGTACTCCAACGTAGGAGAAGAAGTACATCGTTACTTGTTACAAAGTTCAAAGTATTATATACTTCACAATCCTGATAGAAAATTACTACATAATATGCCAGCTGAAAACTCGTTAACGTACATGATTAAAAGGGTTTGTAACATGTTGACGAGTTTTTGGCGAGTTTATGTAGTAACGTTTTTACTAGGGAAACTGAAAAACTATTCAAAATAATGGCGAGCAAGAGCTTCAAATTCAGACAAAAGTTTCAATCCGGGCCCTCAAAACGATCTAATGAGAGCTCTTAGGCAACAGTTTGAAAAGAAGCGAAATTAAAAGAGAGGTTTTTACTCAAAATTATTTATTTATTTATTTTTTTTTTTTATTTCCACCCAACTCCTACTTTTATACATGCAAAATTTTATTACCCCGCCTTTAGAGTTCCAACATAAACATATTAATCAGGAACTTTAATTACCTACGGCGGTGGACCAAAAGCGCGGCACCTGTGCACAAGTACCCCGTGTATACATTTACTGAACCGTGCACACGCCATCGATCAAAATGACACAATGTGTACCAACAAGTTTTAACATTTAATTATATATACGAACAAACTATAGCGGTGTAATTAATTATAGTCTCGTTGACGGGTGGAAGGGACATTAATTGAAGTCGGACTGATCGATTATAACGGGCGTTTCGGCAAATCCGCGATATAATGGAATCAATCGTTAAGTAAATACCAATGAAATCGCATCCGGTCATATAATACGTGTATTCAAATGGCATCTCGGCATATACGCGAAACTGTTCACGTGAACGAGACTTAAGCTCGCATAATAAGTTCAACTGGGTGTGATTCATTATCGCGTTCGAATGAGCGCCGGTGGCTTGAAAGAAGCAAAGTTGGGACGTAGGGCCGATGCATCGCGATTTCGTTGTCCGCGCCAACTCGCTTGGATAATGAAAGTGGATTCAATTTGCCGAGAAAACTAATCATTTCCACCACGCTCTCCCTCTCTGGCTTTTCAACTTTTCATCGACATGGTCCATTAACTTACCATGTGCCAGCTCGTGGGGTATCCTCGTAGTCTCAAAATTCGAGTTTACCAATAATCAACTTTAAGTAAAAATAAAGTAACAAAGGACATTTTACGCGTCGATAGTTGAACAGAGCGATGTGAAAAGCTACCGGTGCGAGCATAAACATTTTCCGAAGAAAAGTGCTTGAGCCAGCAGACGGGGAAACTCATCGAGACATCTTTAATTAAAGTTGCTAAAATAAATAGGTACGTGAAAAGAACAAATAAAAAATGGACAAAGTAAACACCAGTTCCTTCTCTGTTCCATTCCCCATGTGGAAGGGAAAGAAAGAGAGAGAGAAAATGTTTAGGTGAGTCTCCGAGTAACATTTAGCGCAAGCCAACCAGCATCCACCCCCACAAACCACCGTAAAGCGAGGTCAAAAAGGGGGAGAGTGAAAAAAGCGAGACACGCGTCTGACTCGATTTAAACTTTACTACTTGCAAACACTGCAAGCCGAGCTGTACGACCGCGCAAGAACGACCGGAGAAAATACAACCTCCCGCCGCTGCAACGGCCGCGCACGAGAAAACACTGATGACCTGTTACGCAACAAGGGCCCCCTCCTAGCTTTTCTCTGGAAAACGAAGCCCCGCAGTCGAGGAGAAAAGCGCGGGTCACGTAGGATGTTTTAGCCAGGGCGCACTCGCACGTCATCATCCCTCTCGTTGCCACACGAGCGGAGCATAAGCAAGCGCCTGGTCCCCGAACAACCCTACATATACTCTTCCACACACGCTGTGCACAGCGCGTATACTTAATACACCGGTGATCCCACCGCAATCGGACTTTCCGCTGCGATGCAACACACGCCCGCACAACAGACGCCCGGGAAGCCGGGGGTTCGGGCGTGCATTACGCGGTATCGCGTTACGTGAAAGATGTGCATGCATAATGGAAATCAAGCCACCCCCCCCCCCCGACGCGGTGTATAAATAAGGCACGAGCCGGGGCGCGTGGAACCGTAAACCGAGCCGTGCATACGTAAATTTCCCCCTCCCCCCCTGCAACCCTGTGAACTATCTTTCCATCTTGCCGACCCTCCGTGACCAAAGGAGAGCCGTGAAAAAATACACGCATCACCCCACATGCATCCCAAAGTTGGTATCCGGGTCGCGGGTGCGTGCAGTATATATACACATACAATACCGAGCTCGCTCTTTTCCACCTGTGCCCGTTTGTTCTTTTCCGTGGGGCCGAGGAGCCGAACAATTAACGCGGAGCGAAAGTACAATAGGAGGAAGCGGCGGAAACAATGGAGGTCTCGCGGAGCGCCATTGTAGCCGAAATTTATTTGGCGCGTTGTAAATACTCAGCAGTACCTGTACGAGTGCGTGTTATCGAATTTTCGGAGAACAAGGCCGGCCTTTGGGTGGGTCCCACGGTTATACGGGGAGAGAAAGAAAGAAGGAAAAAAATGAAAAAAGGAGTTTTGCGATGTTTTTCAAGGGGTGTGTGTATAGGGTACGAGGGGCCTGTGCTGCGGGGGGGTACACGGCTTTATTTCTCCGTCCCCTCGGAAGTAGCGAATAATGCAATTTCGAAGAATGCAATAAAGTGTGTTTTCTCGGCCGGGCGTCTTCTCGGGTAGTCCCTGCACGCGTATACGTGTACACACGCGCGCAGAAGGGAGAGCAGGGGGAGAGGGAAAATATAAAGAAATGGCTCCGGCGCATTACCCGCGCACGAACTTTGATGTCTATATGTATGTGTATAAAAAAAAAAAGTTTCCACTGAAAAAAAAAAAAAAAAAA